GCATATTGCTATGATGACGTAAGGGAAGGATCTTCATCTCCACATGAAGAGGGCGGCATTCTGACAGGTCTGACTACTTATCCATTGCGTATAACTAGCAGGTACTGCAACCAAAGCATATTGCTATGCTGACGTAAGGGAAGGATCTACGTCTCCTCATGAAGATGGTTCACTGGTATCATATTGAGACACCCTGTCGCAGTCCTCAGGTCGGCATTCTGACAGGTCTGACTAATTCACCATTTCAGATTACTAGTATTCACAGACCATATTGCTTTGTAAAAAGTCAACAAGGTTTCCTTATTTGCGCCCCAAGTGCTGCCCGCAAGCGACTTGAGAACCTTATTCCTACTTTTCAACTTATCGCAGATAGCTGTGGTTTGCGCGGACGATTTAAACATGCTGTCAAATGTGAGGCCGAGTATTTTGGAGTAGTTGGTGGTCGGATCTGTATGTCCCTCGACCTGTACATTCAATGTCATTCTAATCTCCGCAGTCCATGTGGTGGATGCGGCTGATGACTTCGTGGCGGATATTTTCATATTCCTTTCTTTAAAGAAGGCTGTTCGACGAGATAGGCGTTCAATCTCACACATATGTCCTCAACAATAGGACCCGACGCCATGATCGTACAACCATTGGCATAGGTCCACGTGGTGAATAATGTGGCTGACGACTTCGTGGCGGATATTTTCATATCCGAAGGCTGTTAATTCGACGAGATAGGCGTTCAACCTCACACATATGTCCTCAACAATAGGACCCGACGCCATAATCGTGCAACCATCGGCATAGGTACGCCGTCCGGAGGACGTGGAATACCGGAAAGGTAGAGCTTGAACCGTTCCGGAGATATCACTCCATCCTGAGGAACTCCCTGTTTAACTCTACCGGGCTTGGACTTATTCGCATATAACTGATTATCCAACGTTTCAAAGTCAGCCGGAGTGAAGTGCTCCCGATGTCCTCAAATAGCATGGCATGATTAACGGTATCAAAGGCTTTTCATAGGTCAAGCGCTGCCAACACTGTTCTATGGCACGTCCGGTCCTCGACTTATATGTATGGAGATGGCGTGCAACGCTGTTGTTGTACTGTGTTGCTTACGGAGTTCATGTTAATGATGGATGGATGATTGGATAGCTTTCTCTAATGCTGGGGAGGAGTAATGCCTCAAGGGTCTTCGCTACTGGCGACAAAAGTGAAATCGTCCTGTAAGATTCACCTTTGCTGGCATCCTTGCCCGGCTTCAGTAGCGGGACCATCCTATCCATTGTCCAGGCTTCGGGAATGACTATGGGTGAATATCGACAAGTTGAGGTCGTTGGTCAAGTACTCGACTCCTGGCTCGTCCAGCTGCTTCAACATATACATTGATATTCCGGCAGGGCCCAACGCTTTGGATGACTTCGCGTTACGGATGACACATGCAACATCACCCATCGTGAACTGTGTAGTACTCTTCGCTTCGCCCTGTCGCTCTCGGGATACTAGACAAACTGTCGGTTAAAATAACTCGCGCATCTATTCGGATCAGTCACAGTTGAGACGTTAAATGTGACTGAGGTCCTATCATCCTTCATACCAGGGTTCGAGAGCGACTTAACCGTTGCCCAAAGTTTCAGGTGCTCCAACCATTTATTCCTCTTATGATCCGCGACTAATCTGCTGACCTCCAACGTAAGTTCCCCGACCCTGGAATCTGCTGGGTTAGATCGACAGAGCTCATCACGCTGATTTGCTAGACCAACTGCTTCTGCTGGGAAATTAGGTATCATTTCGGATATTCGACCAGCAGGTATAAATCTAGCGGCTGCAGCTATAATGTCTCGGTATTTTCTTTCTGCTACCCGTACATCAAAAGGAATGGAAAGTTTTCTGAAGCGCTGCTTCTTTGAAAATCTGCCGTTCTATTCACCACACTTCGAAATATGCACAAATATTATTTAATTTGTTTATTATCACATCTCAAGAACCCCAAACATTATTTGACAAAAATAAAAACAAAAGATAACCCACAGAGCATAACAACAATTTTTTTCTGCAAAAAAAAAAATCTGGGATTACTATGCGACGGACTTTGAAATGCATCTATGTTTGTACTAACAAAAAATGTTTGTAGTTGATCCTAAATTTTATCATCACTGTTTATAATCGTAGATAAATGCCAACAATGCAAATAAACAACAATTAAAATCTTTGCAATTTGTTATTAATCTTGAGATAACAAGGGGAAAAATCCATGGGGGATCGGAGACCACAGGAAAACTACAAACAAATAAAAATGAGATGGTATTTTTATTTTATTATCATATCTCAGCATAATATTGATGTGGAAATATACTATCAACAAAAATTCGGTCTTAGTCATTGTCAAAACACTGGCAAGGGGCGGACAATTAAAAGTGTTGAAGAAAACTATTTTATAAAGTAAATTTATGAATTTGAAATAATATTTTAAAAATTATTATGTTCCCCAGTTACAACATACAAATGGTCCGGAAATTGTAGATAAATATAGAAATTTGCGAACTAAACCAAAACTTGAGCTGTTGTAAATTAGTTCTATCTCTAAGTCTTAGTATTCAGGGGGAGAGGACTAACATTTTATATTTTTTCTGAGTTGAGTATTTAATTTTTTTCCGAACTTTGGAAAAGAATCTGTCGGATTAGAAGTAGAAATAGTTGTGTGAAAACGAGTAAATGACCCGATCTAACCTTTGCAAAAACTTGGAATACAAATCATGATAATAGCTTTAACTTAACTTCTAGTAACAGAACGCATTGGAGAATTTAAATCTTTCGATAAACTGGAATCTATGTATATTACACAGATATTCTTCGAGGAGTGAAATCACGTCTAATTCAGTCTTTGGGCAATTACACGCTAATTTATTAAAATAACCAGTAAGGAAAGTAGTAAAGTCGGACGGGACCGACTATATAATACACTTCACCACTTTGGGTATATTCAACAGATGAATCCTAACAGACGTCGCTTTTTAAAGGAATGAATTTGGATCCAAAAACATTTCATTCTGCAATCGACTTTTATTTGGTCAGATATAGAAGCTATATCTAAATCTGAATCGATTTTCAGGAAACTTAACACACATCATTCTAGACCTAATTCATTACGTTGTGCCAAATTTCGTGCAGATCAAAAGATTTCCAGGGTCCTTAGTGGACTATTTACCTAAAATCGGGCGAAGCTATATATGGGAGCTCTATCTAAATCTGAACCGATTTTCACGAAACTTGGCAGACATCATTCTAGACCATATTCATTACGCTGAGCCAAATTTCGTGCAAATCAAAAGATTTCTATGGTCTTTAGTGGACTATTTACCTAAAATCGGGCGAAGCTATATATGGGAGCTATATTTAAATCTGAATCGATTTTCAGGAATCTTAACACACATCATTCTAGACATAATTCATTACGCTGTGCTAAATTTCTTGCAAATCGAAAGATATATAAGGACTTTGGTACACCATTTACCTTAAATCGGACGAAAATATATATGGGAGCTATATCTAAATCAGAACAGAAACTTGGCAGATATCACTCTAGACCATATTCATTACGCTGTGCCAAATTTCGTGCAAATCAAAAGATTTCCAGGGTCTTTAGTGGATAATTTACCTAAAATCGGGCGAAGCTATATATGGGGGCTATATCTAAATCTGAACCAACTTTCACGAAACTTGGCACACATCATTCTAGACCTTATTCATTACGCTGTGCTAAATTTCGTGCAAATCGAAAGATATATAGGGACTATGGTACACCATTTACCTTAAATCGGACAAAAATATATATGGGAGCTATATCTAAATCTGAACCGATTTTTCCAATTTTCAATAGGGCTCGTCCTTGGGCCAATTATGTGACTTGTGCCAAATTTCATCCAAATCGGATCATAAATGCGACTTTGTTAACAAAAATACATGGACGGACGGACCATGCATAAATCGACTCAGAAAGTGATTCTATGCATATTCTCAAAAGGAAGCATGGGTCTATCTCGATTATTTTTGCCTGTTACAAACATATGCACAAAGACATAATACCCTGTACCACAGTGTTGTGAAGGGTATAAAAACTCAAGAACTGCATTTAAAACTATAGCGTCATTCAAACAAATATTATTTGTTTGCAATTTTTTATGCCACGCCATAAAATAAATCATAACACCAAGAAGCATCGACCCCCCCCAATTATCTAACCGAAAAAAGTCATAGCATAATTTCTTCTTTCATTATCTCTACCCCCACCCACTATCAGTTAATTGGGGTCCAATGCATTTGGTTGCGAATTTTTTGGTTTAAATACCCGCCGTCGAAGAGTGGTCACAACAGTTCACTTCGAGTAGTCGAACAAGAACAGTTAATTAGAAAATAAAGCAAAAGAAAAAGTAAGAATTAATTAAAAAAAATAGTGGGAAGTGAAAGTTGGAAAATTTGTGTTGGCGGTGAAAATTGTTTTTGAGGGAATTTCAATACCGGGAATGAAGATATAAAGGATACTACAGAATAAAAAAAATTAAATTGTGTTTGAGAAAATTTCAAAAATCCGCAATAAAAGTTATATCTAGCTTTTATATAAAGGATACTGCAGAGTGAAAAACGATTTGAAAATTAAAAATATTAATTTGAAAAATAAAAAAATATATTTTTTTTAATAAAAAAAAATATTTTTTTTTGCTTCATCCAATATCCGCAGCAGTTGCCAACATCTCTAGTTATATGTTGCCGGTTTGCAATACATAAAAAATATAGTAATTAATCATTACCATGTCACAATTATCAATATAGGGCAGACATTTTCAAAATTTCCATTCCCCAATTTATAACAATTAATGCCACCAACAACAAAAGTAGTGTGGAGAAAGTAGCAGCATAATTTTTTAGATATAAAACATTAATTATATAATTTAATTCTATTAAATTATTTTTTAATCAAATATACTTAAAACTGTTTTTAGCTGATTGTCAATATGAGTGCCTGGGAAAATAATAAAGAAATCCAAATTTTCCGTGAATATCTGCGTATTCCAAGTGTCCAGCCGGATATTGATTATGGTGAGTAGGCGAAAAAATGTAAATTATTAATTTAAGGGGATCCCCCCGTTCTCGGGGTAATTTTTTTTTGATTTAATTCGATTCTACACTAATTCAAGAATGTGTCTACAAAATTTCAAGTGAAAATCTCAAGAACTCTTGAATATATAGCCGATTTATTGTGTCAGCATCAAGTGACGGCTAAAGGGCTTCTCAAACTTCTCACGATAACTCAAAAACTAATAACCCAATCGATTTCAAATTTTTACACGTTTCTCTGTGAGTGTATAGCTATCGTATGAACTAGGATAAAGCCAATCGGTGAAGAACTTCCTTATTTTTTAACTTGGTTTTTGGTCAAAAATCGGCGATTTTCCAAAAATATTAGTTTAAAGGTCCGCCATTTTGTTAATTTTAGTTCATGCGAGAGCCAGACATGTACTCTTTCTAACACCGTTGGAATTTTCGGATTCCGATGTTCCAGTGAGGAGTTATCAAGCCCGCAATCAAAAATAAGGACTTTTCTTTAATTACAAAAAAAAAAAAAAACAAAGCAATAAAAAATTTTTTTGTAAATTATTTTTCTTCTCTTTTAAATCTTCAAAGATATATATGCAAAGTTACATTCCTTAACAAGCATTGGTATTGATTTACCAGCCCATTGAAAATCTTGAAAAATTAAGATCGAGAATGGGTGGGGTTCCCTTAAAGCAACTCCACGTTGGGTGTCAATAGAACAGCTCGTGTGCGCAGCTGGTATGAAGTAGAAAATTTTAATATCTTGTGTTGAAGAATATTAAAGGCGACCTGAAGTGATTAGGCCGAATATATATCGAGACCATTATCGGACCTTCGGAAGTAGACTTGAATTTTATATACAAATTAATATGACTTCCGGTGATTTAAAATTGTGAAACAGTATCTATCGGATCAGAAGTAGAAAATTTTAAAATTTTGTATGGAAGGATATTTAAGATCATCTGAAAAGACATAGGCAAATATATATCGATCATTTTTTTTATAAATTTTGAAACTGTCCTGTTATTAAATTGAGCCACTGTATATGTCGAGAACATCATCTTCATTAGAATGATTTATCAAAAGCTGGACGAAATTTTTAATCATTCTTTTAGGTCATCACAAACATGGACGTAAAGTCGGTCCCTATAAGTTCAGTCTGAAACTAATGAAAACAAATATCCGTTTTTTATTAACCCTTTCAGTGTTTTTGTCGAATATATTCGACATTTAAAATTACTATCTTCCTTTGCAATTTTTCGGTTATCCTATGAACCGTTACTATTGATGTCTTTGTTTTTGCTGAAAGATAGACAAAACTGTCCGAGGGTTAAAATAAGAATTGATTTTTTTCTAAACTCTGTGCCTTCATATGATTTTAAGTACAAAATTGTATATTTTTATTCCGACAAATTTTTTTTGACACTGATAGGGTTAAAATTTATTGAGAACAAAAATTAATTAGCTTCGATGATTTTGAGGCATTATTTCACAATGGCGGAAGGCAAATAAGTTCATTATAATTTATATGGGGTAGATGTAGAGGTATATTGGGAAAGGCCTATGAAGGCTTCTATCTTCGAAACGTTTTTCAACTTAAACACAACATTCCTCGTATTTTGATGCATTTCTTTATTAAAATTTATTGTGAACAATAAGGTCTATAAAGGTCTCTGTCGTCGATAAAAGGCTTTCATCGAAAAAGGCTTTCATAAATGGAATATAAAGACTTCTATTTCCGATAAAATGGTCTATCGTCGATAAAAGACGTATAAAGGGTTATATCATCAATAAAAGCCTTCAATCGTTGATAATAGAGGTTACTTTGCAACACGCTTTTCCCGCTTCGCTCATTACTTCTTCAACTCACCCATGTGATGATCATTTAATCCATTCAAATCTTTCTTCTATTTCAAATCAATGGATCGGTAAGCGTTTATCATAATATATCATTATTAAAATTTATTGAGAAAAAAATTGATTAGCTTCGATGATTTTGAGGCATTATTTCACAGAGGCGGAAGGCTAATAGGTTCATGATAACTTATAGGGATATGTAAAGACCTATAAAGATCTCCAACGGCGATAAAATGCCTGTAAAGGCTTCCATTAAACGAGTATAAAGACTTCTATCTCCGATAAGGACTTTTATTGCCGATAAAGACCTGTAAAGGATTATATCGTCAATGAAAGGTCTAAATAGTTTTATATGCTCATCATTCTCTAAGGATTTTTTCTACAGCAGAGAAGTCGTACCTCAACATGTAAGGACCGATTCCCATTTGTTGAGCGTTCATCATAATATATATTATTAAAATTTATTGAGAACAAAAATTGATTAGCTCCGATGATTTTGAGGCACTGAAAACGATTCCACAAGCCTATAAATGGAACTTTATCCATAGACAGGGCCTTACAATGAAATACTCAGCAATATTGGTTGTTTTATAGGCAAAATTGGGCACATTTGAAGAAATTGTTAGAGGTCCCGTAGATAGGGTTCATTGAAAATGTAAACAATTACGTGATACTAGACTTTTTTCCCATTTTTATTATCCTTCCTTACCTTACGAATTTACATTTAATTTTATCTCTCTTTTCTGTTATTTTTCCAGAACCCTGTATTGAATTCCTACGCAAGCAAGCTAAAGATTTGGGTCTTCCCATTAATGTCTATTATCCAGGGGGTAAAACTAAACCCGTCGCCGTCATAACATGGCAAGGTACACAACCCGAGCTGCCATCGATCGTGTTGAATTCCCATATGGATGTTGTTCCCGTATTCGAAGATAAATGGGTACATGCACCATTCGGTGCCGAAATGGATGAGGAGGGTAGAATTTTTGCACGCGGTTCACAAGATATGAAATGTGTTGGTATGCAACATTTGGCTGCCATTCGCGCCCTGAAGAGCAAGGGTGTCCAGCTGAAGCGTACCATTCATGTTACCTATGTGCCGGGTAAGTTCGATTGGAAATTTGTTGGTTGTTTTCTTTCAAATTGGAGAATTTAGAATAAGTCTATGCATTATATTTGAAATTTCTAAGTTTTCATATTTTATTATATTGAAACAATTTTGAAATTAATGATTTCAAAACAGATTGTAAAGCACTGATCTTCCCTTGAAGTGATAAAATCTCTGTTCTACAGATAACTCAGTTATATCAGTTGGGGTGATAAGTTGTTACAATATTTGTTTATATGAAAAGTAAATATGAAATGGAACACCTCACCCTGATATGTAACTGGTACCACAAAATTTAGATAACATTTAGATTTTCTCCCACCCAACTTTGATACATCAATCAGGGACCTAAAAGTGTCATAGATGAAGATCGTAGATGACCCAGTTTTATGGTCGAAATGAAGAAAATTTCCTCTGGGAGAAATAAAAAAATTGTATGATTGGGGACCCTATTTCGAAGTTGTAGCTACAGCCTAATATTTTATGTTTGTAACGGCACAAGTTTTTTTCATACTTAAAAACAGCGTCTTTTGGCGAGTTTTTGTTACATTTTTATTAAAATTTATTGAGAACAAAATTTGATTAGCTTCGATGCTTTTGAGGATTTTGTTCAAGAAAAGGCAAGTAGGTTCATGATAATTTATAGAGGTAGATGTAGAGGTATAATGGGAAAGGCCTATAAAGATTCTACTTTCGATTAAAGACCTATAAAGGTCTCCAACGTCAACAAAATACCTGTAAAGGCCTTCATAGAAGGATTCTATCTCCGATAAGGGCTTCTATTGTCAATAAAAGGCCTACATAGGCTCCTATCAATGGCAAACAACATGAAAAGGCCTCGATCGTCTATAAAAGGCCTTTAAAGACATTTTCAGAGATTGATGACGAATTTAAATCCATATAAAAAGCACATACGTATACTAAGCTTTTTTTCTGAAGACAGATACCTAGCCTTTTTTTAATGGGAAAACTTCGGAACGTTCTTTCATGCTTAAAAACAATAATCCTCGTCTTTTAATGATTTTTGTTTTTGTAAAAAATTATTGAGAACAAAAATTGATTAGCTTCGATGATTTTGATGATTTTTTTACACAAAGGCGAAAGGCAAATAGGTTCATGATAATTTATAGGGAGATGTATTAAGGCCCATAAAGGCTTCTATTGTCGATTAAAGGTCTATAAAGATGACGTCGATAAAATGCCTGTAAAGGCTTCCATAAAGGAGTGTAAAGGCTTCTATCTCGGATAAGGACTTCTATTGTCGATAAAATTTATATTTAGGATTCTATCGTATATATACTTCCATCATTGATAGCCTACTTGAAAAAAGGCTTATAGGTCTATAAAAGGTCTGTAAAGGCCCATATATAGACTTAACATAATTTTTGCTGAAGACAGACACCTAGCTTTGTGATCTGAAGGTCAGGATTTTAATAGAAAAATCGCGAGATGATGTTTTTTAAATGGGAAAACTTCGGAAGGTTTTTTCTTAAAAACAAGATTCCTTGTCTTTTGATAAGTTTGTTTTTATTTAAGGGAAACCCCCCCACATTCTCGATTTTAATTTTTCAAGATTTTCAATGGGCTGGTAAATCAATACCAATGCTTGTTAAGGTTTGTAACTTTACACATATATAATTGAAGAAAAATAATTTACAAAAAATTTTTGTTGTTGTTTTTTGTAATTAAAGAAAAGTCCTTAGTTTTGATGGCGTGCATTATAACTCCTCACTGGAACATCGGAATCCGAAAATTCCAACGGTGTTAAAGTCTGAACTAGGATTATTGACTTCGCTCTAAAATTAACAAAATGGCGGACCTTTGAAAAAATATTTTTGGAAAATCGCCAATTTTTTACCAAAACCAAAGTTAAAAAATAAGGAAGATCTTCACCGATTGGCTTTATCCTAGTTCATACGATAGCTATACACTCACAGAGAAACGTGTAAAAATTTGAAATCGATTGGGTTATTAGTTTTTGAGTTATCGTGCCCGCTATTCGCAAAAAATGTTTAGAGAAAAACGCGTTTAAAGTTTGAGAAGCCCTTCAGCCGTCACTTGATGCTGACACAATAAATCGGCTATATCTTCAAGAGTTCTTGAGATTTTCATTTGAAAATTTGTAGGGACATTCTTTAATTAGTGTAGATTCGAATAATATCAACAAAAAATTTTACCCCGATAGGTTCATGATAATTTATAGGGAGATGTATTTTGGGAAAAGTCTGGGCATTTATCTTCGACTAACGACTTATAAAGGCTTCTGTCGTCGATAAAATGTCAATGAAGGCTTCCATAAATAGGAGTATAAAGACTTCTATCTCCGATAAAAGGACTTCTATCTCCGATAAAAGGACTTCTATCACCGATAAAAGAACTTCTATCGTCGATAAAAAGGCCTATAAAGAATTATATCGTCGATTAAAGAATTATTTCGGATATAAACAACATAAAAAGGCTTCAATCGTATATAAAAGGCCTAAAAAATCTCTCAATTGTTAATTGTGGAGTTTACTTTGCTACTCACTTTTCCCGCATCGTTTATCTCTTCTCCAGCTCTGCCATGATCATTCAATCCACTCAAATCTTTTCAAATCGTCCTTTCTATTTAAAATCTATGAGCACATATCGGTATTTAGCATACCTTCTGCAGTCTTCAGAACGTGAAGGCAAAAAATCTATAAGTTAATCAATTTTTGTTCTCAATAAAATTTAATCGGTTCTTATAAGTTCAGGTGGGGTTCCTCTGAAACCAATGAAAACAAATAAGCGGTTTTTGGATTAAGATGTAGAAAAAATCTTCATAGATTGAAGACGAATTTCAATCTGAAGAAAGATACCTAGCCTTGTGATCTGAAGGCTCGCATTTTTGAAAAAAAGTACAAAAAATCGCTTGAAGGTGTTTTTTATAATGGGAAAACTTTTTTTTCATTCTTAAAAACAACATTCCATGATAGAGTTTTTGTTCTAAATTTTCATTGTGGTACAAATCGGGTTGATGATTCAATGTCTCTCTTTAGAAAAATGATTTCGCACTTCAACATGTATCAACCGATTCTCGCTTAATAAGGGTTTATCATTATAATATAGTTTTTAAAATTTATTGAGAACAAAAATTGATTAGCTTTGAAGATTTTGAGGCAGTTTTCTACTTGGGTGTCACAGGTTTCTTATTCCGACGACCGCAATAAGGGTCTCATTTTACTTCAGGTTTCATCACAAATCTTTTAATATCTAGATGTCCTAAGATTTGTTCCGCAAACCGGGCTAAATTTTGCAGAGCTTATATTTTTCCCTTCGGATGTAAAATGTAATCACATGTTTTCCTCCCACTTTTTCAGATGAAGAAATCGGTGGCACCTTGGGCATGGCAGCTTTCGTGAAAACCGATGATTTTAAGAAACTCAATGTTGGCTTCTCTTTGGATGAGGGTATTGCCTCGACCGATGATGTCTATAATGTGTATTATGCTGAGAAATATATTTGGCGTAAGTAGAAGTCATCTACATCCCTCCATCCTTTCAATTTTTATTTCAAAATCCCATTTTCTTATTACAGAGGTCCATTTCAAAATTACCGGCCAGGCTGGCCACGGTTCGTTGTTGCTGAAAAATACCGTTGGTGAAAAACTCCATTATATTTTAAATAAAATGATGGCCTTCAGAGAACATGAGGCAAAACGTTTAGAGTCGGATCCTAATTTGTCTATTGGTGATGTGACCATGGTGAATTTGACCACAATTAATGGTGGCGTGCAAAGCAATGTGGTACCTGCCTCATTGGATGTTGGTTTTGATATACGCATTGCCATTGATGTTGATCCCAAGGAATTTGAAAATCAGGTAAGTGGTGAGAGGGGTTTGAGGGGTATAATTGAAGTGCTGGAGGCAACTATTTATTGAAAGGCCTTTTACATTATACATTGATACACAAAGGTGTGGAATACATTTATCCATATCGATGGCTATTGAAAATAACTCAAATAATCCGGCTGAGGGCATTTGAGCACCACATTCGATTGCTAGCGAAGATTATCTTCATAGGGCCTTTTATCTAGCATTTCCTCATTTCTTCTGGATCACCCTCTTGAATACTGGACTCCAAAAACACATTTGTGGGGTTGAGAACGGGCGAGGTTCCCAAACAGATCTCGTTTAAGAATATTATTGCTTAATTTTTTTTCTTTTTATTCCAGAACAATTTCAGAACAATTTCTAACATTTTTTTGCAGACTTTTCCATTGTCTTATCCTGTATTTTTTCTTTTTATTTCATTTTACATTTCATCACCTTTCTTTTACCTTTCTTCATAACAATTCCTTAGATTTGTTCAAAACCTTATTCCATTTTCTCCTCCTTTCAGCTCCTCAGATGGTGTGAAGAAGCTGGTGGCGGCATTGAATTGGCATTCGATTTGAAACAACCCAAAATTGAGGCGACTAAAATCGATGATTCGAATATCTATTGGGTTGCCTTTGAAAAGTGTTTGACCAAGGATATGTGAGTCTAAATTATATTTCTCTCATAGTTCTTTTTTCAAATGTTTCGTTTTTCCTTCTTCTAGGGGCTTGAAAATCCGAAAATTGATACTCCCCGGTGGTACTGATAGCCGTTTTATTCGCCAATTGGGTATACCCGCTCTCGGGTTTTCACCCATGATCGAAACACCCCTCTTGTTGCACGATCACGATGAATACTTGAAAGCAGATACCTATTTGAGAGGCTGTGAAATCTATGTAAATCTTATTACATCTCTGGCCAATGCTTAAATTGTGAAAGGGAGGAATTTCGATTTTATTTCTAAAAGAAATCAAGATACAATGTGTTCATTAAATTGTAGATAAATTTGTAAATACTTGTAGATAAAAATAATGAAAAATTAAAGATTTAGTAAATAGTTGGACTACCTTTCATTTCATTATTTTGGGAATATACTTTAATATTTCACCTATCAAATCCGCATGGGAGAATAAAATAGTATTGCCTGAATTACTTTAGCTACAACTTGAGGTTAGCTATAGCTATGGTTATGGCTAATAAAATCACAACGGAGGCAAAAATCTTGAAAAAAAGATTTACAATTCGCAAAATGGAGACCAGACTATTCCGGTATATTTGTTCGAACGACCTTTTGGCCCCAAATTCAAGTCTTATCAGAAATGTCTGTCTAAAAAGCTAAAAGAAAATTAATCACATACAGCAGATTTATCTCGTGATCTGTTCATATTTATATATATATATATTTTTTTTTTGAAATTTATTGAGAACAAAAATTGATTAGTTCAAATAATTTTTCAGAAGTTTTTTTCACTCGAAAAATATAGTCCGCTTCTTTACCGCTTTATTTGAATTTTCTACAATTTTCAGGTTTAAAAAGTCTTCTAAAGTTCGCAAATGAACTTCAACGATTCACTGAACGGAGTAGAGGAAACTAATTCTATACCTGCAAAGATATGAGGCCTGGGAAACAGTATGAATGACATACATTTTACTCCTCCCACACGAACCATTCATTCAGAGAAATATTTATTTTTTAATAATAATGACCAGAAAGGAATTTTTCCTTTATCAATACCTTTGAAAGGAATGAAATTTTTGCATCGAAAAATAATCTCTCAAAAGTTCGGGGAGACCCAAGTTAGATAATTAATTTTTTGTTCTCAATAAATAAATACCAAGCATTTTTAGAAGGAAGTTCTTATGGACGCCCACCTTTTGTCGGATCAAACTCACACTCCAAAAGACGTTGATACCAACCGTACTGGTGTTTAGATATGAAGAATGAGTAATAGTGCAGACAAATGAGGCAGCACTTGGAGTGTTTGGGGAAAAAAGTCTCCGAAAGATCTACTAGCCGATATGAATGAACAAAGAGCTATACTACCTATACACGATCATCGACATAATCAGACATATCGAGCGACTACGGTGGCTAGGCCATGATGTGGGAATGTATGAGAATACCCCCTGATGGCTAGACCATGTTGTGGGAGTAAGGATGCCCCAAAAGCCATATAAAAGCAAGCTTATTGGTGGTTCCCGAAGAAGGTGAATTCCAAGAATTCGATAGAATGTTTAAGTGAATGATAACATATCGAAATATCGTCTTTCAAATTGAAAACCCAGGAAAGTTCGGCTTACGGTTTCTGTCTCGAGCCAGCTAATTAAGTAAGTACATATTTATGAAGAAGGTCCACAAGGGCATTTTAATAAACAAAAAAAAAATTTAATAAACAATCATTAAAGGAGTTTCTTTTATAAGCGGATAGCAAGAAGAATAAATATATTTTCGATCAGAATTCAACGCTGGCGAGAGTTCTGGTCTAAAAAAAATCTTCTGGGACGAATTCCTTAACTAAATATTTTCTACAAAAATTCTAGGAACTTGAGCGTATTTTTTCAAAGAGTTTTTCTAGACATTAACAAAAAATATTTCTTCAACCGGAATGCTGACTTTTTCCTCCCCCCGAGAAATCTGCGAAAACAAATTATAAATAAAAACCAGTAAGGAAAGTAGTAAAGTCGGACTGGGCCGACAATATGATACCCTTCACCACTTTGGGTATATTCTACATACATATGTATCCTAACAGACGTCGCATTTTCGAAGGAACATTGACATGAAATTGAACGAACTTAAATCGAAATCTAACACGACTTTCTAGAAACTTAGCACACGAGCTATGGTAGGGACAGATTTTTATTTCAAAGGCACGAAAATCCCCATGAACATGCACAACAACAACATATATAAAAGGGGTTCTAAGAAATACTTCAACCTACAAAACATTCAATTATAGTAACTTCCGTACAATGTACAAAATTGTTTTCCGGTCGGTCTTTAGTGCATAATTGACATTAAATCGGACGAAAGCATATATGGGAGATAAATCTTAATGCAAAATTTCCTGCAAATCGAAAGATATTTAGGGACTTTGGTGCACCATTTACATAAAATCGTACAAAACTATATATGGGAGCTATATCTAAATCTGGACTGATTTTCACGAAACTTGGCAAACATCATTCTGGACCTAATTCAGAACCCTGAGCCAAATTTCAGGCTAATCGAAAGATATATAGGGACTTTGGTGCCCCAATTTACCTTAAATCGGACGAAACTATATACGGGAGCTATATCTAAATCTGAACCGATTTTCTTCAATTTTAATAGGGTTCGTCCTCGTTTCCTTTTGCATGTTCCAAACATATGCACAAAGACATAATACCCTGTACCACAGTGTGGTGAAGGATATAAATATGCCAAGAACCAGACTAGTGCCAATTTAACGATCTAATCAATTTTTGTTCCCAATAAATTTTACAGAAACTATGTCGCTATGAACTAATCGAAAAGAAATAGAAGGACTATTGAAATGTTGAAAAATTTCACTTCGTATAAAATGTTTCTTAGTTTAAAAGTATACCCAATCAACTAATCAATTTTTGTTCTCAATAAATTATCCACAATATATATTACGATAACTTTGTCCATAGGTATCAAAAGGAGTTTTTATATGTTAAAACATTATCAGAATATGAGCTGTTTTTTTCCCTTTAAAAAAGCTACTCAATAAAAGGGGTTCTAATTTTTTTCTATTGCAAGCATGAACCGCTGCTTGTAAAAATTTTATTTATAGAAAAAAAAAATATTAATCGGAATCTGTTTTTTCTGAGACTTTTTCTATTGGGAAATAACACCTCATCATCATGAGAAATTTTTAAGAGTCTCAATTTTTGAAGACCCTTTCAGATTCTCTAGGCAAGTTTGAAAAACTTTTTACAAAAAAAAATCTAAGAATTTGTTTAAAAACTTCGAAACAAATCAATTTTTAATCTCAATAAATCATACAGAAATGTATCGCAGTAAATTAGTCCGAAAAATTCCAAAAAAAATTTTAAGTTTTCTAAACTAATCAACTTGTGTTCTCAATAAAATGTACGAAAACGTATCGCGATAAACTTGTCCAAAAAACAGAAGAGCTCTTTGAATGTTGTGCCCTCAAAGTGATCAGAAAATGGGAGTAAATTTCCTTACAAAAAAAAAAAAAAATGGAAAAAATGGTTTCGAGTTTTTTTTAATCGAAATAATTGGTCGACTACTTCCATGAATTTTTTCTATAGAAAAAAATAGGAAACTCTATTTGTGTAGTTTTTTCCATATGTAAACTAACTCTTTATATTCTAAGAATTTTATCATGGTCTTAACTTCGAAAGGTAATAAGTAATATAAATTATTTCCTACAGAAAATAATTAATCAGATGCTAAGAATGATATATCTGCAAAATATAAAAATGTTCCAGAATTACTATGCCTTGAAACTAATCATCAATTTTTGTTCTCAATAAATTTAAAAAATAATATGCAACGATAAATTAGGTCAATAGATGCAAAAACGGCCTTTAATTACGGAGGGATTTCACTGCGTATAAAAATGTTCAGTACTTTGAAGCATCTAAACTAATCTATTTTTGTTCTCAATAAATTATGCAATCATACATCACGATAAAAAAAGAATAAATAAGGAATCTTTAAAAATTGTGATCTTTAAAATGATAAGGAGCTATATTCCAAACCTCGAAAAATCAAGCTCGGATATAATCTACAGAAAAAAAGATGCATAGCTTCTGGGGTCTTTTTCTGTAGCAAAAAATCGAAATCTCTGTTTCTGAGGTTTTTATACCCTTCACCACACTGTGGTACAGGGTATTATGTCTTTGTGCATATGTTTGTAACAGGCAAAAATAATCGAGATAGACCCATGGTTCCTTTTGAGAATATACATAGAATCTCTTTCTAAGTCGATTTATGCATGTCCGCCCGTCTGTCTGTCCATGTTAAATTGTAAACAAAGTACAGGTCGCATTTATGATCCGAATTGGATGAAATTTGGCATAGGTCACTTATTCGGCCCAAGGACAAACCCTATTGAAATTGGGAAAAATCGGTTCAGATTTAGATATAGCTCCCATATATATATTTAACCGATTTAATGTAAACGGTCCCTATATATCTTTCGATTTGCACGAAATTTGGTACAGCCTAATCATTTAGGTCTAGAATGATGTCTGCCAAGTTTCGTAAAAATCGGTCCAGATTTAGATATAGCTCCCATATATAGTTTCGTCCGATTTCATGTAAATGGTGCACCAAAGTCCCTATATATCTTTCGATTTGCACGAAATTTGGTACAGCCTAATCACTTAGGTCTACAATGATGTCTGCCAAGTTTCGAGAAAATCGGTCCAGATTTAGATATAGCTAGAAGTACAGACATAGCCCAACGGATGACCTATTTATATTTGTTTGAAGTCGATTTACATACTTTACATACTTTCACATATAGATAAATATCACATATTTTATTTCATGCTAATAGTCCTGTTTAATATACCCATAGTGCTGAAGGGTATCATATAGTCGGCCCCGTCCGACTTTACTCTTTTCCTTACTGGTTTTTCTATAGCTTCTCATCTTCTGCGATTTTTTTCAAGGTTTTAACTTTTAAAGACACCTTTTTTAAAAAAGCCTTTTGAAACGGACGATCCTCAGAATATTTGTTTCTATAGCAAAAAATACATCTAAAATTTTTTTCTATAGAGTTTTTCTTTTTGGCAAATTAAGGTCCTCTCCTTAGGTTCTATACCTACCCCTCATACAGTTGAAAAATGAATCTTAATAAATAAAAAATAAATTCACTTTATTTGAACATTTAAACATTTGAACATTTGCTTTAATGAATAACATGATGAGAAAAAATTTTACTATTTTTCTGCTTTCTTTCTTCTTTCTTGGGGTTTTTTGTTTTAGCTTAATGTATAGAGTAGAGAGAAGAGAGTATGACTGGTTGGGTTTTGTTTTTTTTTGTTTTAGGTTAAATTTTAATAATATTTTTGTTTAGGTTATCTTCTGCTTCTTGGGTTCCATGCTTAAGTTTTTTTTCTTTAAATAGGTTATTTTTCTTTGTGATATTAATTTCAGGTCCAGAATTTGAAAATTTCTTCTTTGTTAGATTTTCTTTTGTGAATGCGGCGGAGGATGTTGGTTGCACCTTGTCGTCGTTCTTCATGGGGGGTCTGTGGGGTTTTCATTTCCTTCTTCTTAGTTATTTGGATTGTTGGTTTGTGCGTGAGTTTGAGGGGGTCGCAGATGTTCACGACGTCGATGATGATACCATCTTTTCGAATCTCTTGGTAGGCAGTGATGTGATGAGTTGTCCCCACACTAGGGTGCCCAGACCAAAGAATATACACCACAACCATTGATCGAGCGAGAGAGCTTTTGTGGAGAAGGCCATTTTGCCGTATTGGACAATTATGACCTGCGGGGAGAGATAGAGAGAGAGAGATGGGGGTCAGAAGTGTTTTTTTTTGTATGTCGAATTTATTTACCTGTGATACAACAGTGGCGATCCAAATGCTGTAGAATATGGGATTTGTAAAGAATCCCTCCAGGACATTACGCTGTCCATGGATTTTGCGTGCATTGATTTCATTGAACAATGTCATCATGACAAAAGTGTTGAAAATAATTGTGAAATGTTGAGTGGGACCGGCTGATAAGGGTTGGCCGCGGCCCGATTCAATATCCAAAATCCAATCACCTGTAGGAAAAGAAGAAGAAAAAATGAATATCTCACAATAAAATAAGTTAAAGTTATCCTCAGCTTCTAAGGACTCAATTTCCAGATTTTTTTCCGGTTCCGGATTTTTTTTTATAGAAAAGAAAACCCCGAAGTCTAAAGTCTTGAGATTATTTTCCATAAAAAACAAAAAAATCGATACCCTAGAATCCGAAGATTCTAGGGTATCGATTTTTTTCTTTCTTAAAGAATAGTAGTTTGGAATGTTAAGGTCCAGAAAAATAAGGTTTTACTTACCCACAAACAATAGACCGAAAATAATCACCAATTGATAGAACGCCTGACCCAAAATATTCTTTAACATGGTGGCAGAAATCAGCGGTTTCGTACGGCCATAGGGTTTACGCAGCAACAAGTCGGGTGTGGGCATTTCCGTGGCCAAGGCCAAAGAGGCCAGGGTATCCATAATCAAGTTGACCCACAACATTTGAACAGCCTTAAAGGAACCAAGGAATACAATAATTAATAAAAAATGAAAAAGAAAGTGTCAGAAATTTCCCCTACTTTCAATGGCGAATCTTGCACAGCACAGGCACCAATGAACGCCACAATAACAGCCACCACATTTACGGTCAATTGGAATTGCAAAAATTTCGATATCGAATCGTAAACGTTACGACCCCACATAACAGCCTTAACAATACTGCTAAAGTTATCATCGGTTAAAATGATATCGGAAGCCTCTTTAGCAACATCGGTACCAGCAATACCCATGGCAAAACCAACATCAGCCTTTTTCAAAGCAGGACCATCATTTGTACCGTCACCAGTGACGGCTACAACTTCACGATTGTCACTTACAGTACTGTCAATAATACCTGGAAATAGAGAGAAGAAGGAGAAAGAAAATTTAGAAAAAATTTGAAATGAAATAAAAATCGAAAAAAATAACCACTGCGGTCCCTAATTTTCCAATAATAAAAAAAATCCTCTGAACCGATTAGTAAGCTAATTAATTTTTGTTCTCAATAAATTTGATATAGACGACGTGAAGACAGGATTTCTCCTACGAAAAAAGCCATCAGAATCATAGTATCGATTTTTTCAAAGAGGACCGATTTTTTCTCTTGGAAAAAATATCTGGGGCAAATCTGGGTTGTTCCCAAACAACCCCCCTCTAGCGGAGTATCGATTTTATTAAACAGACTGATACTGAGAAGCGTTTTTTTCCGAAAAAAGATCCCGGAAGTTGGGAAATTTTCACCAAAATATCCTGTTTGGAAAATCCTCAGCCACCGATGTTTTTCTAGAAAGAAATAGCTTAAGAATGCAAACCAATTTTTGTTCTCAATAAATCTGTTAAAGACGACGTCAAGACATTCCTTATAGGCGAGCTGAAGGGAGAATTTATATACATCGAGGAAGATTTTTTCACTATATAATATAAATTTTATAAACTAAAGAAAGATAGGATCGATTTTTTCCCATGAGGATCGGGGTTTGTCTTATGAAATAAATCTTAGATGTTAAAGTCCTATTAATACCAAACAAAACCCTTCTAGCGGAGCATTGATTTTTTAACAGACTGATATTGAGAAGCGATTTTTTTCCGAAAAAAACCTCGAAAGTTAGGAAAATCTGAAAAAAAAAATTTTCTATAGTAAAATCCTCAGCAATCGACGTTTCAAGCAAATCAATGTTTGTTCTCAATAAATCAGTCAAAAGCGGACGTCAAGACATTTTTTATAGACAAGCTGAAGGGAGATTTTATATACAACGAAGACTAATCAACTTTTGTTCTCAATAAACTTGTTCAAAATGACGTCCTTACAGACAAACTGAAGGGAGAGTTTATATAACGAGGACTATTTTTCCTATAGAAAAATATTTAATAAATAAAATTTAATAAAAATCTCAAATGCTAAAGTCTGATTGTTTCAGGCGAATATCGATTTTATTTTTTGAACAGACATTCCCTGAGGATCGATTTACAGATCGATCCCCGAGAGCTGAGTAAACCTTTAGATAATAGCAGTCAAATTTAGCTCAGAATCAAGTTTTTTGAAAGAGACAGTCCCAGAATCCGGTAAAGAAGCTATTCGATTTTTTCTCAATAAACCTGATATAGATGACATCTCTGAATGAAGATTTTGCAAACGGCGAGGAATATAAACTAAGGAAAAATATTCTCTTACGAAAAAATAAACTTCCGAATCATATGACCATTTTTTCCCAAAGAGAACTGGGTTTGTCTCCTGGAAAAAATCTGAGAAGCTAAAGTCCGATTGTCGAACACTGAGGACTTTTTTTCACAGGAAAATAACCGGAAACGGAAAAATCCCTAGAAATTGATAGTCAAATTTTCCTATGGGAAAATTTTAAGCAGCTGAGGATCAGTAGCCAACGTTGTCGGATGTTATCATCAGTCCCTATTGATGATCTGAATAAAGATATTATATACGATGCAGACGATTTTCCAAGGATAGATATTAATTATCCTATTGAAAACCTCTTCAGAGCAATAGGATATTTTTCCAAAGAGGATCAAATTTTTCTTATAGAAGAAAGTCAGAAACTCAAGACTGATTATTTCCAATCGAAACCCTCATAACAGCGAAGTATCGACTTTTTATAGACGCTAATGATCGATTTTTTTCATAGAAATAAAAACTCAGGAAGCCGAGGGAAATTTCAAAGAAACTGATAGTCACATGTTCTTATGGATACAAATTCAGAGGAACAACATTTTCCGTAGCAACCGACAATAGGCCCCAGATATCGGTTAGAATGCTAATCAACTTTTGTTCTCAATAATCTGATATAGACAACTTTATAAGAAAGAGAAGAGAGTGGAAATGTAAAAAATATCCTTAGAAGAGGGATGATATTTTTTTGCATTTTCTACGAAGCCGAGGATCAATTCTTGTCATAGAAAATAACCTGAGCAACTAAGTTATTTTAGATACGCAAATGAATTTTTGTTCTCAATAAATCTAATCATAGATGGTCTTATGGACTTGTTGAAATGAATCCCTATAAACCTGCTAAAGTGAATTTTAATATATCAGCTGTGGTTGCTCTTTAGAGACTTATATTCTGATCGGTTGAAGCAGATAATTGATAAGAACAAAAATCCACAGCAACTATGAAAAATTCTTCAGTATGAGTAGAAGTGGTTGGGAATAGAAGAAAAATATACCTTGAAGGGGGAAGGTGATGGCCTTATACACATGTTAAAGTAGGCTCTTATAGACCAGCTGAAGTAGATTTTAATATACCATTTGTTGTGGATCATTAGAGACCAGAAAAATATCAATGCAGATGTGATCTTTAGATAAGCAAATTAAGTTTTGTTCTCAATAAATTTGATCTGATAGAACAGCTGAAGTTGTTTTTAAGGGGTTCTTTAAAGCATAGGGTCTGCTATAAAATATTTCCAAAGGTTGGGATGCATATAATAAGAAAATCTATTTTTGTTCTCAATAAATCATATCTCATAGAACAGTTGAAGGTGTTTTTAAGCCAGCTGAAGAATTTCTTTATGCACCAAATAATGGTGGTATTTATAGATCTACTGCTGATGGTCTTTACAGACCTATTTCTAGAGCGGATTTAAGAAAAAAACTCTAGAGAAACCCAAAAATCTAGGTTTTTTTGAAGTTGGTCTACTACAGCAGATTTAACAAAAAAATCTAGAGAAAACCGATTTTTCTATAGAAAAAATTGTAGAGACCTCAAATCTCTCTATTTTTGCAAAGAAAAAAAATTCTAGATACATAGGTGTCGTTATTCTATAAAAAAATCTATAAATTTTAGGACTCTTCGTTTTTTCATAAGAAAAATTTAGAATTTCCAGGTTTCTTGATTTATCCATAGAAAAAATTGTAGAGACCCAGGTCTTGGTTTTTCAATTGAAAAAATCTATAGACCCCATTCCTTTAATTTTTCTATAGACAAATATTTTTGAGATATCAGATCTCGTGCTGCCCTACAGACTTAAAGAGACGCCCGCATTAGGCTACAAATCAATTTCAATTTCTCAATAAATCGCATACCTTTTACCAAATTATATTTATCCGTTGGGGAAGAACGAGCCAGGACACGTAATTTCGGCCACACCTTGTCAATTAAATGTTGTTGGATCTGCAAGAAAAAATAACACTTTAGTCTCCAAGTTTTTAATGATATATGAAAAATAATCCTTACATTGCCATTATTATCACGAATACGACGATTAAATTCTTTACCCTCCAATATCAAGAAATCATCGCCCGGTTTCAAAATACCACATTTCGTGGCAATGGAGCGAGCCGTATTAATATTATCACCGGTAACCATGCGCACGGTAATACCGGCACGTTGACATTTGCGGATAGCCTCTGGTACCTCTGGACGGACAGGATCTTCAATACCCACCACACAGAGGCAGGTCAAATTGGACATAATACCAGCTTCATCATCCCAATTGGGTTCACGATCAATTGATACTTCGTTCATGGCAGCTTTACCGGGGACGAAATCACGATAGGCAATGCAAATTGTGCGCAGACCATCACAGGCCATGGGTTCGATTACCTCGCGGATCAAACGTTCTTGCATGTCGGGAGTGAAACGTTCCAAGACACCATTGTGACCGAAAATGTAGGTACATCTGGAGATAGAAAATTGATTAGAATTCGCAGAACAAATTTTGTGTATCTTTTGGAGACTTACTTAGTGAGCATAATTTCGGAAGCACCTTTACTAAATAGACGATAACCACCATTGCTTCTAGGAATCACAGTACCCATGCTCTTGCGCACCGAATTGAAGGTATAGACCCGAGTGAATTTATCTTCAGTGATTTCATCACGTATGGACTGATATTTAACACCCAGACCCTGGACAAAGCCCAATAGGGCACATTCGGTTTTGTTGCCCACCTGGGTGGGTAAATCTTCGGGTGTGGGACCGGGCTAAAAGAAAGAACAAAAAAAAAATATTTTTAAATTAAGGAATGAAAATCTCTGGGGTGTGGACTCACCATAATATTGGACGTATAGGCGGAATTAACCGAAATACCCTGGGTTATCAAATTGGCCACATTCTGTGGTATGTCGTTGTATTTCGGCAGGACTTTGCATAACTTTTCGCAAATATACGATTGAACAACGGTCATGCGATTTGTTGTCAGGGTACCAGTCTTATCGGAACAAATGGCAGTGGCATTACCCATGGTCTCGCAGGCATCCAAGTGACGGACCAAATTGTTGTCTTTCATCATTTTCTGGAAGAGAGAGGGGAAAATAAGGGTTATATTTTTTTGGAAACTAGGGGTATTGAGAATTTTTCAAAAGGGAAAAAAATGAATGGGATCCTACGGGTTTTTTCTATAGAAAAAACCATGTCCTGAGGTCTTGCGATTTTTTTTTATAGAAAAAAAAATTGAAAAAATTCCTATAGAACAACTTCTAGAGACCTCATTTCTCTGCAGACTTCTGGAGACATGCGGATGTTTAGGCTAATCAATTTTTGTTCTCAAAAAAATGTATCATTAATGACCTGATTTTTTATATAAAAAAATTCCGACATGACCTGTCTATAAAAAATCAGACCTGGGGTTATGAGATTTGTTTTCTATAGAAAAAAAGAAGACCTAGGGTCTTGAAATTTTTTTCGATAGCAAAAAATAGAAGACCTGGATTATTGACAATTTATTTCTATAGAAAAAAATCGGACGTGGGGTCTTGAGAATTTTTTCTATGGAAAAAATCAGATTAAATTTTTCAATAGAAAAAATCCGACGTGGGGTTTTGAGAATTTTTTTCTATAGAAAAAAAATTTAGACCTGGGGTCTTTAGAATTTTTTTCTATAGAAAAAAATCGAAGACTTGTGGTCTTGAGATTTTTTTCTATAGAAAAAAAATCGGATCTGGTGTCTATAAAAAATCAAAGACCTCTGGAAACACCCGGATCAATAATCAATTTTTGTTCTCAATAAATTTTTATGTATAAAAATCGGACCTAGGGTCTGGAGAATTTTTTTTCTATTGAAAAATTATAGAAAAATCAATAAATGTTTATGTATGAAAATCTGACCTAGGGTCTGAAGAATTTTTTTCTATAGACAAAAATCGGACCAAGGGTCTTGAGAATTTTTATCTATAGAAGGAAAATTGAACCTTGGGTCCGGAGAATCTCGAGATTTTTTTCCATAGAAAAGAAATCGGAAGACATGGGGCCTTGAGAAAAAAATCGGAAAAATCCTGAGAATTTTTTTCTATATAAAAAAGCAGACCTGGGGTCTTGAGAATTTTTTTTTTATAGAAAAAATCGGGACTGACTTCCTGAGAATTTTTTCTGTAGAAAATAATCGAAGATCTGGTGTTTTGAGAGTTTTTATATAGAAAAAAATCGGACCAGGGGTCTTGAGAATTTTTTTCTTTGGAAAAATCGGACCTGTTGTCTTGAGAATTTTTTCTATGAAAAAAATCGATCTGGGCTCTTGAGATTTCTTTGAAGACCTTGTATATGCTTTTCCTTCACTTACCTTAACCGAATAGGCCAACGACAGGGTAACAGCCAATGGCAAACCCTCCGGTACAGCCACCACCAAAACGGTCACACCAATAATCAGATGCTTGACAAAATGATTGGCATAGGTGTTCTTCCACTGCTTCTCCTCGATGACAAAGGTCTTGACACAAAACTGAATGACCAAAATGATGACCGTCAGGACGGCAATTGTGGAACCAGCATAACCAATTTGTATGGCCAACTTTGTCAATTTCGATTGTAGAACAGATTTTTCCTTCTTACCCTCGGACTCGGGTGCAGAACCGGTGGTACTCTGGACATGATTACCTTCTGTTTCAGACTTGAGACCATCTGAAATGTGAGGAATACTTTTGTTGGCTGGTGGAACTTGTTTCTCCACATCATCTTCTACTTCTTCAACAACTAAAAAAATTTCGTTTTGCGATGTTCAGGGTTGCAGGGGTGGTGTAGCAGGTGGAATTTTTCAGGGGGAGGTCGCGAGAGGGGTAATTCATAAAATCAAGTGAAATTAAATAAAAATAATAAAGAAATCAAATAAATAAAAATCATAAAAAAATTAAATGCTTAAAATCTGAACATGAAGGACCCGGGAACCCATTAGGGTCCCCTATGGTTTAGAACTAGGGTTAGTTACTTCTTGAGGTTAGGGGAAAATTTCTATTTTTTGATTGGAAAAATTGGAAAATTTTACAAATGGTGTTTTTTTTAGAACAAGCGTGGTAGACAATTTTTTTCCGATTTTCAGGATCACTACTGACCCGTAATACCTAAGGTATTAGGGGTACACCTAATCATAATGTGATAGTTACTACAAGGTTCATTGACTCACAACCAGGCCTTCGAGAAGGACTTCAATTTTTTTGCAAAGACCAAAGTTTGCGGCATTCCTTTGTTGTTGTAGTTGGGAGGCGAATAAGAAATTAATTTCAAAATTTTATAAATAAATTCCGCAAAAAAATGGATTTATATAAAAAAAATTGGAAGGGGGAAATTTTTAATAAAAATGGTCCTATTTTTTCTTCAAAATTTCGATTTTTATACAATTCAGCTAAGCTGAATTGGGTCAAAATGCGATTACACCTCTCCAAAATCCTAAAAAAATTAAAAATTTACCAATTCAGCTTAGCTGAATTGCAAAATAATGTAATTCAGCTAAGCTGAATTTGCTGTATTTTAACAAAAACCCTATATTACTATGATATAAGACAAAAATTCCCCGAAAAACAGTTGCTGAATACAATTCAGCTAAGCTGAATATCACAAAAATTAATTTTTCAGACTTAACATAGTCAAATTCCAAGATTTTTCTGAAATTCACCTTTGCTGAATTAGTCCCGAGACTGAGTTTTCCCAAACAATCCTCAAGTAATTAAAATTTTCCTACAATTTGCTAAATTTTGCTTTGCTATTCAGCTAAGATAATTTGGTTTCATTTTAACAAATACTTTATTTAAATATGATATAAAGTATTAAAGTGGCAAAAATTAGCTGCTAAATACAATTCAGCTGCAAAATTTCGTCGAACTTTACAATTCAGCAAAGCTGAATACCTTTGTTAAAACGAAAAATACTCTTCTATATCGATTTTAAGACAATTCGAAACACTATCTCAAAATTCAGCTCAGTTGAATTTCAAAATATCGCAGAAATTTACTATTCGGGAAAGCTGAATAGCATGATAATTAAATTTTAATTGGATTTTTTAACAATTCCTAACATTATCTCACAATTCAGCTCAGCTGAATTTCATGATAGCCTAGAAATTCATAATTCAGCTAAGCTGAATACCTTCGTTATAACGAAAAATAACTTCTATATCGATTTTAAGACAAATCGAAACACCATCTCAAAATTCAGCACAGCTGAATTACAAAATATCATTATCAATAAAAATTCAGCGAAGCTGAATAGCTTCGTTTATGTGGAAATCAACTTCTATATTGACTTTTGACCATTTCCTTAAATTTTCTTACAATTCAGCTCAGCTGAATTACAAAATATCTCCGAAATTTACAATTCAGCAAGGAAGAATTGTTTTGTTATTACGAAAAATCAACTTCTATATCGATTTTAAGACAATTTAAAACACTATGCTTAAATTCAGCACAGTTGAATTAAAAATATCATTGAAATTTAAAATTCAGCAAAGCTGAATAGCTTGTTTTTGTGAAAAATTAACTTCTAATTTAATTTTTGGCCATTTTCAAATATTATCTGACAAATCAGATCAGCTGAATTACGAAATATCATCGATATCTACAATTCAGCAAAGCTTAACACCTTTGTTATAACAAAAAAATCAACTTCTATATCAATTTTAAGACAACTCTAAATGTTTTCTCAAAATTCCGCTCAGCTGAATTACAAAATATCGCTGAAATTTACAATTCAGCCGAGTTGAATAGCTTGCTTTTTGGGAAAAATCAACTTTAATTTTTTAACATTTTATTTTATAATTCATTTATATCATCGAAATTTACAATTCAGCAAAGCTGAATAGCATTTGCTTTGTGAGAAAATAATTTCTATGTTGATTATAATACAATTCAGCTTTGCTAAATTACATTTTTTTTTTTGAAATATACAATTCAGCAAAGCTGAATTGTTGATTTTTTTGTGAAAATCAACTTCTAGTTTGATTTTTGATCAGATCCCTACCATATCTCACAATTCAGCTCAGCTGAATTACAAAATTCCGCCGAAATTTACAATTCAGCTCAGCTGAATTACAAACTATCGTCGAAATTTACAATTCAGCAAAACTGAATAGCTTTATTTTTGTCAGAAAATAATTCCTATGTGAATTTTAATGCAATTCATCTGTGCTGAATTGCATTTTCTTCCGATATTTACAATTCGGCGAAGCTGAATACCTTAGTTTTTTTTGAAAATAAACTTCTAGTTTGATTTTGGAGCGGGTCCTGATTAATTATTTCACAATTCAGCTCAGCTGAATTGCAAAATTTCCACGAAATTTATTATTCAGCAACGCTGAATAGCTTTATTTTTTTCAGAAAACTATTCCTATGTGAATTTTAATACAATTCAGTTTTGCTGAATTACATTTTCCTCCTGAAATTTACAATTCAGCAAAGCTGAATAGCTTGGTTCATGTGAAAATAAACTTCTAGTTTAATATTTTAACGTTTCCGAATATTATTTTACAATTAAGCTCAGCTGAATTACAAAATATCTTCGAAATTTACAATTCAGCAAAGCTGAATAGCATTATTTTTGTCCAAAAATAACTCCTATGTCGTTTTTTATACAATTCAGCTTAGCTGAATTGCGAAAATTTCAATTCAACAAAGCTGAATAACTTAGTTTATGTGCAAATCAACTTTTAGAGTAATTTTTGACCATTTTCCAACTTTATCTCACAATTCAGCTCAGCTGAATTATGATATATCCTCAAAATTTACAATTCAGCAAAGCTGAATAGGTTTCTTTTTACTAGAAAATGTCTCCCAATCGTTTATAATTATATTCAACGTGGCTGAATTACAAAATATCGCCTATGTCTGCAATTCAGCAAAGGTGAACGTTTTGAAAATCTTCAAATCCTTAGATTTTTAGCTTAGCTGAATTGTAATTTTTGACCACACTTAATTGTGGTCCCTTTCAAACACACAGAGTTAGCTACAAAATTTTAAACAAAATTTACCTATAATCGCTTAAATAATTAAAAATAAATTATTTTTTTTAGGTTAGTCACTTTTTGCTCTCAGTGTAAAATTTAAAAAAAAAATTGTTGTTGTTTAAACAAAAATTAAAAAAAAACAAATATGAGAATAAAAGTTTCAGAAAAAAAGAGATTAGTCAGTTAAAGAGAACAGTTAAAAAGCTTATAAAGCTTCGAGAGAGAAAGAGAATATCCATCACATTCTCTCTTACCTTTTTTCAATTTCTTCTTTTTGCCTTGAGACTCTTCATCGGTGGCGCCCAACAGTGTCAAAATAATACCCGACTGGGAATTGACACCGACAGCGGTGACAACCATTTTGCCGCTACCCTCCATGACATGGGTGCCGGATAATACCATGGGATCGAATTCAACGCCTTTCTTGACGTGATCGGATTCGCCGGTCAACGACGATTCATCCACCTGGTGATGAAAAAAGAGAGAGAGATTTTATTATTTATCTTCATTAAGGAAAGAGAGGGAGAATTCTCTACCTTCAGGTCATTACTCTGTATGAGAATACCATCGGCCGGCAACAGATCACCATATTTCACTTGGGCAATATCACCAACCACAATATCTGTCACCGAGATCTGACACACCTCACCGCCACGAATGACGGAGAATTTGTGTTCACCCTCTATGCGATTTTGTAGGCCACGAAATTGTCGTTCTTTGGAGTAGTCATTGAAGGCTGTCACGAGGACGACCACAACGACGGATATTAAAATGGCCAGGCCTTCAATCCAGCCATAATGGTCATCTTCTTCTTCCAAAACAGCTGTAAGAGAGAAAAAGATAAAATTTTTAGTAACGAACCACTTCGTGAGAAGGCGATGGGTCCAACTTACGAGCATCATCATCGGCGGGCTTATAAAACGATAGAATCAAGGAGACTATCGCAGCTACTTCTAAAATAATAAGGGTCACATCTTGCAATGCTTCCCAGACTAGAGTTAAAAATGTTTTCGGAGGTTTCGGTGGTATACTATTCGAGCCAAAATTTTCTCGTCTATGTTCGATGTCGGATTTCGATCCACTTAAACCTGGAATAGAGAGCAAAATATTAGTTTTTCAGCTCTGCGAAAAAAAATTCCTGCTCACCATCTGTGGGGGAAGTGTATAATTTTTTACAGATTTCGTTGACACCGCCCAACTGATCTACCATGTGTACACCTTCGCGACCCCGATGTTCCATGAGGTCGCGCAATTGCCTGAGTGATATCCCATATTGTGCGGGTCGTCCATCAATGGTGGCCATTTGTTATAAACTGCAAAGAAAAATTAAAGAAAAAAAAATATTAGTAAAATATTTTCCCGAAAATCAGGTTTTAAATATAATTCAGCAAAGCTGAATAGCATAAATATTAATTTTTAAGGATTAAAATAGTACATTTTTATGACTTTTTCGATATTTAGCTCAGCTGATTTAGCCAAAAAAGCGATTTTTTCCCAAATAACTTCAGAAAAATCAAATTTTCTTAATTTTAGTCCAATTCAGCTTTGCTGAATTGCAAAAATAATGTATTAAATGCAATTCAGCAAAGCTGAATAGAATAAATATTAATTTTTAAGGCATAGACTAGTAAATTTCCACAACATTTTTGATATTCAGCTAAGCTGAATTGGTCAAGAAAGTGAATTTTTAACAAATAACTAAAAAAAATTTATTTTTTCCTCATTATAGGCCAATTCAGCTTTGCAGAATTGTCGAAATAATGTATTAAATGCAATTCAGCAAAGCTGAATACCATAATTACTTATTTTTCAAGCATAAACTAGTAAATTTCCACAACATTTTTGATATTCAGCTCAGCTGAATTAGTCAAGAGAGTAAATTTTTCCCAAATAACTTAAAAAATTTGAATTTTCCTTCATTTGAGGCCAATTCAGCTTTGCTGAATTATCAAAATCATGTATTAAATGGAATTCAGCTAAGCTGAATAGAATAAATATTAATTTTCCAGGCATAAAATAGTACATTTCAATGATTTCCATGATATTCAGCTCAGCTGAGTTAGTCAAAAGAGTCAATTTTTCCCAAAAAACTTCAAAATTTTGAATTTTCCTTCATTTGAGGCCAATTCAGCTTTGCTGAATTTTCGAAATAATTTTTTAAATGCAATTCAGCTAAGCTGAATAGCATAAATATTAATTTTTCAGGCATAAACTAGTAAATTTTCACACTTTTATGGATATTAAGCTCAGCTGAATTTGTCCATAGAGGAAGATTTTTCAAAATGATGTTAAAAAAGGCATAAAAAAGTAAATTTTCACAAATTTTTATATTCAGCTCAGCTGAATTAGTTAAGATATCCTATTTTTCCATTTTTTTTTGTTAAAAAATTAATGTTTCCATCGTACGATGTATTAAATGTAATTCAGCAAAGCTGAATAGCATAAATATGAATTTTTAGGCATAAGCCATGAAATTTCCACAACTTTTTTGATAGGCAGCTCAGCTGAATTAGTCAAGAGAGTGAATTTTTTCCAAATAACTTCAAAAAATTATGTTTTTCCTCATTTTATGTCAATTCAGCTTTGCTGAATTGCAGAAATAATGTACTAAATGCCATTCAGCAAAGCTGAATTCTACAAATAATAACTAATTAGGCATACATTTTTGAATTTTCATAATTTTTTTGATATTCAGCTTAGCTGAATTAGCCTAGAGACCCTGATTTTCTCAAAAATGTAAGAAAGAATAATTTTTTCTCATTTTAGTCCGATTCAGCTGAGCTGAATTGCCAAATAATGAATTCAGCTAAGCTGGATTACTACAATTTTAACAGTTACTGCGATAGTAATAAAAAATAACCGAAAAATACGCCGTCAAACACAATTCAGCTAAGCTGAATTACAAAAATATTAAATTTTTTAGGTTTCGGCATTTAAATTTTGGATTTTTTGTTAAATTCAGCTTAGCTGAATATGGCTGCAATTAAGGGTGTCTAAATATAATTCAGCTAAGCTGAATTGTGTTTGACGGCGTATTTTTCGGTTATTTTTTATTACTATCGCAGTAACTGTTAAAATTGTAGTAATCCAGCTTAGCTGAATTCATTATTTGGCAATTCAGCTCAGCTGAATTGGACTAAAATGAGAAAAAATTATTCTTTCTTACATTTTTGAGAAAATCAGGGTCTCTCAATCAAAAACAATGTATCTATGGTATTTTTTTGTAATTCAGTTGAGCTGATTTAGGAAGCATGGCAACCATGACATTAATAAATATATTTAGAACACAATTCAGCTAAGTTTAGACTATTTTGTGGCTTTTTAATACAATTCACCAAAGCTGAATTGTACCGAAATTCGAAAATAATTCATATACAGTCAATTTTTGTTATTTAGATGAGGTTCTATGCAATTCAGCTAAGCTGAATTGAAGTTTTTCTCAGCTGAATTGTGAGATTTTACAAGGAAATATACTCCAGCCAATTTTCTAACAATTATAACTAAAATTAATGCAATTCAGCTGAGCTGAATTAAATATCAACGCTTGAAATAAGGTTTTTTTATGGTGTTAATGTCTAATTTGGTTTCCTTTGTCTGATTTTCAATGCAATTCAGCTAAGCTCTATTTATGATCAAAGATTTATTTACGGAAAAAATTAATTTTTAGCTATGCTGAATCCATGACAAAATTTCGGATCATAAATTTCGTATATTTTTCAATACCATGTCTATTTGAAATGGAACATCATCGTTTGCTGAATGACGTTAAATGACCATAAAAAATAGATTTAATACAGCCTGGCTGAATACTTAAAAATTCAGCTCAGCTCTGTTATTAAAGGCAATAATTTTTTAATTTTATAATCAAATAGTAAATAATTGCAATTCAGCAAAGCTGAAACGGTTGAGAATTGTTTGAAATGAAAATATTTTACAAGAAAATGTTGAAATGTTACAATAAAACTTAGGTGAATTGGTAAACAATGCAAATATATGCCTTCTGAATGCCTATTTATTGTATTTCCCTGTGATTTTGTGAAGTTTTCATCAATTCAGCTTAGCTGAATTGCATTTTAGGCAATATTGTTTAATAAAACTTTGCTGAATTGTTAGCTGTATTGGTATTAGCAAGCATAATTTATATTTTTAATGACTACTTTAAAGTCAGCTCAGCTGAATTGCATTTTTAGGTAATATTGTTCTATAAAATTTTGCTGAATTGGTCATATGTTATGTATTTCACATTTTTCAAGCTCTTAATGTGATATTATGCAGATTTTAGTTAATTCAAAAAATCATATAATAAAACTTAGCTGAATAGGTGTTTTCAGATGAAATTTGTAATTGCAAGTCCGATTTTGAGCTCCTCTTGACATTTTCTAGAAGATTTCATCAATTCAGCTAAGCTGAATGACATTTTTCATGACTATTTTTAAAAATATTCCCGAAAATTACAAAAAATTTTAATTCTGCTATGCTGAATTGCATTAAATTCCAAAAATATTCACATTTACAACTTATTTTATGTTTTACTACCTATTCCCTTGGAAATTTCATTAATTCAGCTGAATTGGTGTTTTCTTACATTCAGCATAGCTGAATTGCATTTTTCGTAGGAATTCCGGGCAAATTTCTATAAATATTGGTTTTCTAAGGCAAATTTCATATATTCAGCTAAGCTGAATTGCCGATTTTTACAATTCAGCTCAGCTGAATTTCATTTTTAGAGATAATTTTTAAAAAAATTATCCATAATCGCAAAATTTTTTAATTCAGCTTAGCTGAATTGCATTATTTGCCAATAATTTTTAGTTTAAACCCCTATTTAAGCTTATTCATCATATTTCCTTGTTCAATTTAGCAATTCAGCTTAGCTGAATTTCGGTTTTCCTTGAAATTTTGTGCGATTTTCTATAGAAATCGTATCTCTAAGATCTACTTCATTGATTCAGCTTACTAAATGATTCATTTTCATTAATTCAGCTTAGCTAAATTGAATTTTTGATGGTTATTCAACAACATATGGTCTAAAAATCACAAAATTCGGTAATTCAGCTTAGCTGAATTGCATTACATGTAAAAAATTTTAATTTGAAAAACTAATTTAAGTTGTATTATTACATTTCCTTGTAAAATTTATCAATTCAGCTAAGCTGAATTGCATTTTCTCTGCAAAATTTTGTACGATTTTCCTAAATATTGATTCTCTGATGTCAATATAACTAATTTGGCTTTGCTGAATTGTAGATTTCTTCAACAAAACTTTGCTGAATTGCATTTTCAAGGTCATTTTTCGTAATTTTACCTAAAATCATAAAATTTAATAGTTAAGCTTAGCTGAATTGCCCATATAATTTATTTTAAAAATGCATTTTAGCTTTAAACACGTATTATCATGTAGTTTATATCAATTCAGCTTAGCTGAATTGCATTTTCCATCGAAATATTTGAGAATTTTTTATAGATATTGATTCACTGAGGTCCATAAAACTAATTCAGCTTTGCTGAATTGTAGATTTCTTCAATTCAACTTTGCTGAATTGCATTTTTGAGAAGAATTTTTTCTACATTTGCTAGAAATCGCAAAATTTGTTAACTCAGCTTGGCTGAATTGCATTATTAGAAAAAAATAGTTACTTTTAAATGTATCCAATCTTCATACTCGCATTATAATGTCGATTTCGTCGATTCAGCTTAGCTGAATTGCATTTTTCGTGAAAATTTTACACAAAATTTGATAAATATGGGTTCTCTAAGTCAAATTTCACCTATTCAGCTCAGCTGAATTGCAGATTTCTTTAATTCAGCTCAGCTGAATTCAATTTTTCTTCAAAATTTGTCAAATTTTACGATAAAATTCATTCTTAAAGTCATTTCGTTTCGCTAAATTGCAATTTTCCTTAGCTGAATTACATTATCCTTCTTCTATTTTCATTATTTACCAAATTAAATTACTTTCCACCTCGCATTACTCAAATTCGCCCTTTGCTGAATTAGTCAATAAAAAAACTACAATTACTTTTTGATACATTAAATTGCCATTAAAAGGCAACTAAAAGCAAATGAGGCTATTCGTTTGCCATGATATACGTTTTTATTTCAGAATATTTTTTGCAAATACCGGTCATTTATAACATCCACCCTTTTTAGCCACGCAAAACCGGACTGGTCTAAATAACTCTGTTATGCCGGCATGCAGGTGACCCCAGCTAGAAAAGCCATTAATTTTCTTTTACAATTTGCAATTGCGTTTTGTGAACATGCCAACCCACCAGCCAGCCAGCCAGCAAGCCAATTAAAATAATCTGATCTGGGAGTAGTGGTGCGGTAGTAGT